ATTCTGCATATATAAAACTTTCACATTCGTCATTATGCATTTTCCCAAGCTGTATTCCTGAGGATCAAGGAGGAGACCAGGTTCTAATTATTTAATTAGTGATCTCTCTCATGTTATTAAGGCCCCTGGTCTCTAGAACTTATGATAAGTTGCAGGAGGCCTTTGATGACTCATTTCCAGAAAACTCTCTGTAAAGGCTTGGACTCTGTGTGTGTGTGTGTGTGTGTATAAACCTGGGCAGTCCCCAGGTTACAAATGAGATTCATTCCTAAGTGTGTCTTTCTTATTTTAAAGATTCATTGTATTTTTCTTTAACTTTTCATTGTGACTTGAATGAAAGTTTACAGAACAAATTGTTTTTCCATTCAACAATTCATAACATATTTTGATTTATGGCATTGATTACAATCCCCACAATGTAACATCATTCTTCCTACTTCTTCCCTGTTTCCCATTTCCAGTGTGTCTTTAAGTTGAATTTGTAGGTGTCTTAAGCTGAGATCTCTAGAGAAGCAAAACTAATGAACATATATGGTGAAAGAGAGAGAGAGAGAGAGAGATTTATCTCAAGGAAGTGGCTCACATAGTTGTAGAGACTGGCAAGACCCAAGGCTGTGGGTCACATGTCAAGCTGGAGGCTTCTCTTGAAAGCAGGGGCTGATGAGCCCAAGATTTGCAAACAATATAGCAAGCTGTTGGCTTCAGAGGCTGCTGAATTCAAGGTCAGCAGGTAAGATGACAGGCTGTTGGCTCACAGGCTGTGAAGGCAGCATTCTCAAGATTGGCAGGAAATACAGCAAGCCACTGGTTCAAGTCCAAGATCCATAGGTCAGATGATGATGAGCCAGATACAGGATCTAGATCTACAAAAACCAGAGAGTTGTGTCAGGATGTCCATATATATTAGAAACAGGTCACACCCCTGAGGAAACTCCCTTTAAACTGATTGGCTGCTCATAGCAGATCTCATCATGTAGGTGATTACATTGTATCAGATATCATCATGAGGGTTGAGTACATCATAACTGCTAAACCACTGAGAATCATAACCCAGCCAAGTTGACACATAACTTTAGCTATCACAGTAGGTAAGTCAGAGCAGGTGCATATGGTTCTTATTTAGCATTACTTTAGTGCAAGAAAAGGCTCAAAGCCTTTTCAGTGATTTAAAAGCTGCACGTGCTGCAAGTCACTGCAGTGAGGAATTTGTTGCAAGTAGGGGTTGTTCCAATCATTTCAAAGTGAGGAAAATTTATATAAGGGTGAGTAGAAGTTGTCCATAAGTTGGATGTTCATAAATTGTGAACTGCTTTCAGTTTCTTCCTATTTCTTTTTTAGAGGTTTTTTCTCTGAACTCTTCATCAGAGGACACTGCACACTGGTGTATTTGGCTTGGTGTCTCTGGGAGCACAGTGGTGAACATACTACTTTTTGTTAACTTTCTTTCTGAAAATGTGACCCCAGTAGAAAGATTTCCTTGTGCCCAGTCTTGGCTGTGCAACTCTTGGTTCATAGAGCTCCCTAAGCCTAGCCTGAGGAGGGTCATTTTGAAGGTACCAGGATATGCTTGTGGCTGCCCTGCCAAGAAGCAGTCACACTTATTAGGGCCAGCTGTTGCAAACTCCCCAAAAGCACAAGGTTTCTTTGACGGTCTTTGTGCCAGTCTATCATTTTTCTGATCTTACAAGTCCATGTTAGCAGAACGTTTTCAGTGGACAACCAGGACTCAAATGGAGATTTAATGCTTTGTAGCTTGAAATAGCAAGGAGGTGGTCAGTCAGGTCAGCAAATGGAAGTGGGTTATAACAACTACTTTCTGTTGTAAGACACATCCCTGTTTCAGAGATGTTAAAATGTGTAGAAAAAAAAATGTCCATTTTAGGATGGATAATATAAGGTAAAATCTGTCTCCTGGAATTGTGGTAAGATTTACAGTGAGAAAGTTTGTATTTGTTATTATGATTGTAGTTATATAAATATATAAGAAACCTAATAGAACCCTCTATTAAGAAAATCTGTTATGACTTACGGAGCACTCATTAATATATTTACTGATTTATGGTTTAGTTTTCATATTTAAACTTTCCCTAATATTTTTCCTTTTTTGTGAGGTAAAATTTACATTCAAGGAAATGCACAGATCTTAAGTACACAGCTATATAAGTTTTGACACCTGTATTACCAACAGCTCTACTAAGATATAGAATATTTTCATTAAGAAAGAGGTCTTATGTCTTTTCCCAGTCATCATTTCCCTTCCCCAAGGCAACCTCTGTTCAAGTATCTTTTACCATGCCTGCTCTGGAACTTAGTATAAGTGGAATAATGTAGTATGTATTCATTTATGCATTCTTTTTCATTCAATATATTTTGAGTTACATCTCTGTTTCTGTGTGTATGAGAGTTTGTTCATTTGTATTACCAAGGAGATATCCCACTGTCTATGCATTCTTCTGTTGATGGACATTTGCATTGTTTCCAGTTTGGGACTATCATGTCTAAAGCCACTATGAACATTCATGTACAAACTATTATGATTTAATTTGAATGAAAACAAAAATGTTTTCATTTTTCTAGGCCAATATCTAGAAGTAGAATTGTTAGATCAGAGGTAGGTATTTGTTTAACTTTAGGAGAAACTGGCAGAACTTGTTATAAAGTGCTTTGGCAGAGTGGTTTGTATGTTTTG